CATTAAATAGTGAGTATAATAATTAAAAAAATTGTATAGCTATCTAAACATGTCAGAACGTCTCAGGATTTTTCCAGTTCTTTTCTGACGCTTCTATGATAATTTTAGACGACATTTGTGCTATCAAAGCGGACGTTTCGGACAGATTCCAAGAGGAACGATTTTTCGAAACGACTTCTCATCGCGGCCCGCATTTGTCATTGTTCTCAGGAAAATGAACGGCTTTTGTGCCGCTGGCTTTCGGCTCAAGTTGATTGACCTGTAACCACATCGAATCCCAGTAAGACGGTGTCCCATTATGCCGCTGCCGACCGCCGTCGCATTGTGCTGGTCTCGTTCCTCCGGCGTGTGTGCGTGCGTGCGTGCGTGCGTGCACGAGCGTGTATCGCGATTCATTCATACACAAGGCCCGCGCACCTCGCATTCGCCTCACGCACGTCGCACGCACGCACGCACACGCGCGGCCCGAGCATCATCCGCGACGATCATCGCCCGCGGTGCGACAGGGCAGGAAGTCGCAACTGTCGCCCACATCTCTCTGCGCGGGAATCGCAGCAAAAGGTGAGAATTCGCGGTCGCTCGACCGCGAACGGTCGAGACGGTCTCTTTCTCTCTCTCTCTCTCTCTCTCTCTTTCGCTCTCGTAGAAAAGAATGACTCGTTTTTTTTCTCTTAGTTCATTCGTTCGTTCAATGGCGGTGTAACAGGTGATGTGAAGGCTGCGGAATTGAGAAATAGAATTTCGGTATTGACATATGATTTTTATTTCCTTTTTAATTCTCAACCGTGGGTCTATTTTCCATTCAATCTCTCTAAAAATCTTTGAAATGGAAAATCTAATATTTCACTTTTAAAAATTGACAATTAAGCCATTCTTTTTTAACATTGGCTCAATTGTCATTCTTTGTCATTCTCTAGAATTAGATTCAAAGATTTTCCTAGCAAACGAGAATAGATTGAAATGAATTGAAATGGATTCAGATTTTCAGAAATATGATGCACGAATGTTAAAATGAATGTTTTTCAATCCTGAATGCATTTTTATTCATTTATAGGAATTGCATGGAGCATATCTCCTCAATCTAAAAATAATATTAGCTTTTTCTGTGCATTGTGAATATTATTCAATTCAAAATTTTGAATAGGAAATGCAGTTTTTCAATCCAATTGCATCCAATTGAATCCAATTGAATCCAATTAAATCTAAAAAAAAGCCAAATTTGCTATTTAAAATACACATTCGGATAAAAAAAAATTTCAATCCATTTTAATCCATTTTCGTTTGCTAGTTGATGAAATAGATAGAAATTTTATTTTCTTTATTGTATCCTCAAAGTTAGATTATTTTTATTAAAATATACATTTATTAATTCTTTTTTATGCGATTTTTATAAAGAACCATCATTTGAGTTTCTTAAATTTCTTATTTAAATTAGTTAGTGCCTTTTAATTAACATAAATTAAATGTTCTACTTTATTTAAGGGACGTCCCGTCTATATGGGGTTTTAGACAGTAATTGTGTTAATTTTCGCGTCCGGATTTCAGTTCCGGAGAATTAATTAAAGATTCGAAGGTACTCGACGATTTATCTACCAACTAAAGAATTAAATACAAAAGTCGGTTAGTTGATTCACTTCCTTTTATTCCTTCAGGCAAAAGTACATTTGTGATTTTCTTCCTTGCATTTTTTTTTGTGTATATTTTGTAGAAACTTTATTTTTGTTGAATAATTTTTTTCAGAAAGTTGACGTCAGAAATATTAACAGATTTCATATAGAAACAATATTTAGATGAAAAATATACTTTATGCTTCTTTTTAATACTTTTTTTTCGGTGAATCGATTTATCATTATTTCTCCAAACAGGCAAAATTATGGCTTCCCACTTGCATTTTTTGTATTTGTTTTATGTAGAAACACTATTTTTGTCAATTAATTTTTTTCAGAAATTAAAAATAACAAATATTAACATTTTGTGTAAAAATAACTGAAATTGGATATAATTTGATACTGTGAGTTTAACGCGCCCTCTCACAGAAATCTACTGGTTAATTAATTATTGAAAGTGACAGTAATTAAGTACTTATTTAGAATATTAAAAGTGTTGAACAACAGTGCTTTTAATACTTAAAATAAGTAATTAATTATTGTCATCATTGTTAGAAATGTAACCACGAGCCTTTATAAATGAAGCTCGTGATTATGAACGAAATTAAAAGTAATGATTTAACTGAAAATTAAGTTACAATAGTTACTTAAATGAAATGAACGTGTACATTAAATTTATGAAATTTATTGTACTTTTAATAAAATTTTATGAAAAGTACAATAAATTTCATAAATTTTCATTAAAAATACATTAAACTTTATGTACATGTACATAAATATACTTTTTATAAATATATTAAATTTAATGTAATGTCAGGAAATTAAATTCAAATTGTGTAACTTAAAAGTTAATAAAATTTAAGAACATTTCTAACAGTGATACTTTCAGTATTGGCCAGTAGATTTCTCCCTTATAAAAATTTAATACCAATACTGGCCAATCACTTATTTTGAGTACTAAAAGTATTCTTAACAATACCTTTAATAAAATAAGTGCTTAATTGATCAGTATTAACATTAAATTTCTGAGGGCTGTAAGGAGTTTGAAAACCTAAAACCGAAGATTCTAAAAACGCTGCACCTCCGTGCGATCGTAGAGATCTCAGAGCGATTCGCGAATGGAATGATCTCACTCACCCGCCTGGGGAAGTCCATTGTTCTGCAATGTTTCGAAGAAGCCGGGGCCCATTTAAATCGCCTCTACCACGCGGACTACGGAAAGGGACACGCGCGAAGGAGCAGGACGCGCGAGCTCCGCTCGCGTATGATGCGCGGCGGCTAACTGTACACTGTGAAACAACTGATATTTCCCGAGCTGAAAACGAGACCGCATCGGTGCGGTGCCGTACAGCCGAGTGTCCGGAAGTGGGCCCCGGAATTCCGGCCGGCCAGTCGTGACCGGCAACGGCAGGCGGCCCGGGACGAGGTGTGCGGCCTCATGAATACGTACATATAATACGCAGGGTTGGGTAAGTTAATGTTTTTTTTAACTGAATGAAATTAAAGTTAAGTGGCTTTACAAAATTAATAAAGTTAAGTTGAAAGTTGAAGGAATAAAAAATTAACTTAAAAAAAATTAAAAATTTAATTTACTTAATAATTTATATTGTAGTTATTTAATCTCATTTTAAGAAAAATTAGGATATTTTGAAAAATATTTTTTTTTTAAATTAACTTTTTTTTTAAGTTA